ACCCTCATCGGGTCCAACNTGTCATGCATGTGTAGCACGTGATTTTTGCCTACGCTTAAATTACTCATACAAAAATTCTTTAGAATTATGATTTTTCTTTATTATTTGATTTTTAGAATCTAATTGCATGATTTCGTGTTTATTTGTATTTTGTGTGCATTTTTAGGTGTTATAAAAAATAAAAATTACAAAAATAGCATACTTACATTTAGGACCTAATTCTTGATTTTTTTTATATTAATTAAACATCATTGAAAATAAGACAGAAAATAACAAAAAAAAAATAATCCTTTTATATCTTTTGTTCCTTTAATATCACTTTCGTTTAATTCTCCTTTAGAATTATGATCTAGTTAATTCTAGGAAATTTAATTAGTCTCATTTTAGAATTAAATTAGGTTTTGGCTATTTTTAATTTTGCATTTAATAAAATCCAAATTCAAATAAATAAAGAAGAAAATAAACCAAAAGAAATGGAAATGAAAAGGACCAGGCCACAAGTCTTGGGCCAATTCGAGCCCAATGAACCCAACCAGATCCGGCCAAAATGGCCCAACCCAATCCCTGATCCGGTCCAGAGACGCCCAAAACGACGTCGTTTTGGCGTCAATGGATCATGACCGTCCATACCCTCAAATCTAACGGCCCGGATTGAATCTTGAATTAAAATAAAGGTGTCCGAAAATATGCCAAACCCTAAGACACTCTTCACCTTCCTTGTACCATTTCCCCTCCCTGTAACGCCGGCATAACACCACCCTTCTCCGCCGTGCCGCCGTCCGCCGCCGGCCGGAAATCGCCTCCGCCGGCAGCGAAGCCCTAATCAACCCCAAATTTACACCACAGATGCTACTTCATCTCCTCTTTCCATATCTGTGGCCCATTTCTTCCAAATCTCATTCCGTTTTCTTGAATTTCAGATCCAAAATCTGGCCAAAACCTCAATTCACCCAACCCCAACCAAATTAACACCATACACTCTCCTTATACCCCTCATCCCAAACTCATGACCCTCAATCTCCGAATCATCCTCGTTCGTGTCAAATCTTAAATCGAAATTTGACCTCAGAACCCTAACTTTACAAATTCGGGATAAAACGGTTTCCGGGCTATAATAGCCCTTAATTAGGTGTTTTCTCATGGGAAACACCTAATTAAGGATGGTTATAGTCTGATTTTGTCAACAAAGGCCGTCTGATTTTCTCTTAGGTTCATGTTGTAATTTCAGTATGCGTGCCATTGTTTTTCTTTAGGGTAGTTTAATTTCGTTAATCTCCAAAATTAGTTTGAACCTTTGTTGATCCATTAATCCATGTTTCGGTTAATTTAGTCACGATTTAGGTTTGCTCATATTGGGTTAGTTTAACTCGTAGTAGGTCAGTCTTAATTCGTAAATAGGTCATTGATTAGTATCTTTTGATTGTTAGTTTCCTGATTTTTAGTTCAGTTCTGAGTTAAATCTTGTTTCATGGATTCTGATCAGTTAATTCAAGTGTTAGTTCTGATTCTATGATGATTCATTTTTAGTGCTTAAGTGTATTTAGTCTTTGTTAGTTGATAATTGGATAGTAGTGGGATTTAGGATCAATTTTCAGTCTCAATTAGCATTAATTGGATTCAGTCTTAGAATTTTGAAATTAGTTTGGATATAGCTGAATAACTTAGCCTTCAATTAACCTTGGTTGAATTTTAACTAAAGCAAAAGGGGTTTGGGTTGGTCAGTAATTTCAGGGAGTAGTCAGGGGTAATTTGGGCATGCGAAAGGGCTGGTTTGTTAAGACATAGTAATTTTAGAACTCAAGCAAGGGTAGTTTAGGTTTTTCATAGCTAAAAGAATACCCTAGGGCCTTCTAGAAGGGGGCCTAAGTGTAAGTTTTCTGCATTTTAATGCAGTAACTTGGGTAACAAGTCATAAAATCAGGGTCTAATAGCCAATTTCTGAAATAAAAAGGGGGAAAATCGGAAAATGCTTCCAGAACATTCTGCCCCACTCCTTGCCTATAAAAGGCACCTCTAATGACCTTCTTTTACAAGTTTTAGAAGACCTGAAAATTCCAGAAAACTATCCAGCCCTAATTCCCCCTCAAAAACCTTCCTTCAAGTTTGAATTTCAAAATTCGAAGAGGGTCAAATCTGAAGTTTTACAGTTCTAAAAAACTTCCCTTAGATCTTAAAATTCTGCAGAAAAAACCAAAAAAAATAACAAAAACTCCCAGAAAATCCCCAAAAAATACTGTACCATTAAAACCTTAGGTTAATTTCAATTTTAGTTTGTTGAGTTATATGGTCTAGCTTACTGTTTGATTGCCGAAGTAGTCTGAATATTTCTGCCAACTTCAACTAAATTCAAGTGAAAACCAGTGGTTTTGTTTTTTGTGTCATCTTTGTTGCTGTACTCTTCTACCTTCCATCCTTGGGTGTTGTGGCTTGATTTGAGTTAAAATTAGCCCTGTGTGAGCTATTTACTGCTGATTGTGCTGTTGTACACTGCTGTTGCATAGCTGACCCAATTTTCCTTTTCACTTTGTTCGAAATCCAGGTACATCTCTTGTAACCTTCAAGCATTGGAAATGAAGTGAAACAATTGGCAATTTGCTCCTTTAATGTAGCTTCGTACTGTATTTAGCTAGATCCAGTAGTGTTATTATTTCTCTATATGTGCTAGGCTAAGGATTATTAGAATTATGAAGCTATAGTTTCATGTTAGCCTTTATCTCATCAATACGTTGCGATTACTTGTATTGGACTGTTAAACATGTACATTCTGTTTGTATAAATTTTCAGCATGGAGTAGAATCATATTCAATATAGTTTGGTGCTTGGTTTAGATCGGAACTTGAGAATTTGTTAATGCAAGTGTTGCAACTGATGTAGGTATAAATAGGAGCCATGTTTTCAACTAGAATTGTGATTAGAATTTTTATTGAGCCTAATGTTTTGCTATCCAGTTAGTTTTTTAGTTTGAACTAGTCTAATGTCTCCCGTTGGTAGTCATTTGAGTTCCAGATTAGCCAAAATCTCGTTATCCATATTTGGTTAGTAATGTGTATAATTAACCACCATTTCCTTTAGCCATTTACACAACTGAAATACTGTGAGAAATTGGTTTTTGCTGATTTAAAGCAAATGTTTAATCCTTGGTCTTTCCATTATTAGCTTAATACATGGAAAAAATGAAAGTGATTATGGAGATAATATCATTGACTTGTGCGAACTCCATTACCTCCCAGTTGATTGCAAAATTGGTTCATTTTGTGTACAGGGTCAATTTGTTGAAGTGGTTAAATATGATCTGTTTTATTCGGATTCATGTACAGACCTGGGCCGAAGTTTCAAGGCCCAAAACAAATGCTAAAGGTCATTAAAATTGTACTAGGAACATGGGGATTAATTTGTAAATATAAATTTGGGTTTTCGGGTTAGGTGGAGGGTTCAAATTAAGAGGGTCCTCCCTTTTGTTTGAATTCGGACTTGAATTCGAGGCCCGAATTTATAAATGTAAATTAACTAGGCCCTTTTAGAGACAAACTCAATAGAAAATCATAGTTTGCTTTAGGCTATCCTTAAAATAAATGAGATGAGCCTCGCCGAACAAAATGCATAAATTGCGGGGCCTTCATTAAATGCTTATATAAAAATATTTAGAACTCGGGACGTGCCATTAGCGAAATGGCTTCCCGCAAAGATAATAACTCGTTAGTCGCTTTAGGCGCGTTTTAATAATTTTACCTTCTTAAATTCGGGTGTGCATTTCATGCAACCCAAATCCAAATCCCAAAACGTTGAATAAGAATATGTCGAGGATCCGGGTGCATTTGATGTGACGTGATCCAAAAATACGTTCTTAAACGGCGTTCACTTTCCTAAAAATCAATTAAAAGCGGTAAATAATCTTAAAATTGCACTATAGGTTGGGACATGCAAAAAATTAGATTTTTAGCCAATTATAATAATTTAAGCGACCGTGCTAGAACCACGGGATCCGGGGGTGCCTAACACCTTCCCTCGGGTCAACAGAATTCCTTATTCAGAATTTCTGGTTCGCAGACTCCAATTGGGAAGTCGAAATTTTCCTCGATTTGGGATTCAAATTAAACCGGTGACTTGGGACACCAAAAGTCAATCTTATCCCAAGTGACGACTCTAAAAATAAATAAATAATCCCATTTCGAATAATGTCACTTTAAATGGAAAAACTCCCTTATACATTATCCTTCGGGGTAGGTGTGTAAAAAAGGAGGTGTGACATATACTGGAACTCCATTCTAATATACTGGAGTTCTAGTACAATATACCGGTCCAACATAATATACTGGAGTTTGGAGCACCGGTGCTCCAGTCTCCAGTATATTATATTGGAACCAACAAAGTATACCGGTCCAGCATAATAAGCTGGAAGTTCATACACAGGTGCACCGAACTCCAGTATATTATGCTGGACTGATCTCTGTTGCAGCAAAATAGTGGCTACTTTTCAATGACTTGGCAGACGATGACTATTTTTGAATGGCCAGTCCGAAAACTGGCTAGACCGTGCTATTTTAACTAAATTATGTGAAAATTTATGTATTATTCTAAACGAAACTATACTGCGAATTAAAAGTTCATACATTAAAAACACGTGAATAAAACTATCTAAAGACAAAATGCATTTTAAAGTAAGTAATTATTGTTCTTTTAAGTAAGTAATTCACGTGTAACAATCTTTTCATTATGATTTCTTCTTTCCTGCGAATGATATTCTCTTAATTATTAACTACAAGATTACAAATCGTTGATTATTAATCATCATATAAACAATCTATAATTTAATCCCTTTATAATTAACAAGACAATCCCTTAGTCAAAGTCAACCAACTAACAATGGGCTAAAGAAGAAAAGAACACAATATTTGAATTTTAGTTATCAAAAAGTCTATACAATCAAAGTTGACCAATTAGTATTCACATTGACCCCCCCCCCTCCCCCCCCCCCCCAAAACCCTTTTACCAATCTACAACAAACCATCTTCTCAAATTCTTGAAAAAACTCTGCTACATGTAAATTCCCAGCATTCTTAGAAGCTAATTTCTTCACTAGAAAATCACAAAAATGTCCAAAAAAATAATAATCTCAACTCCCAAAATCCTTTTTTCCATTCTCACCTTTCTGTTTTACACATTCAATGCAAATTCTCAACCAAATTCCAATCAAGAAAATACCATTTTACTCAAGCTAAAACAACATTGGTCTAGTTCTCCTAATATCACAAGCTGGAACTCATCTTCAAATCATTGTTCTTGGCCTGGAATAATTTGTACACATAATTCAGTTACAGGAATTCAGATTTATTTTGGACAAATTTCTGAACCATTACCACCATTCATTTGTGATCTTAAAAATCTCACCTTTCTTGATTTAAACCACAACTTGATTCCTGGACCTTTTCCTACTATACTTTACAACTGTTCAAATCTTGAATTTTTAGACCTTTCTTTTAACCTCATGAATGGTACATTACCTGATGATATTAACCGTCTTTCGGTTAATCTTCAAGTCCTTAACTTGACTTCAAACAACTTCACTGGTGATATCCCTTCAACAATTGGTGACTTAAGTGATCAGCTTAAAGAACTCGCGCTCGCGGGGAATTTGTTTGATGGTACTTTCCCTATAGAAATAGGTAACTTGTTGAATCTTGAATCTTTAGTGTTAAGTTTCAATGGTTTTGTTCCACAAGAAATACCATCAAGTTTTAGTCAGTTAAAAAAACTGAGGAATTTTTGGATGACAGAAGCAAATTTAGTTGGAGAAATACCTGAAAATATTGGTAATATGACAAGTCTTGAATTTTTAGACTTGTCCTTAAATGGCTTAAGTGGTAATATTCCTAGTGGTTTATTTCAGATCAAGAATTTGACCATAGTTTATCTTTACAACAACAGATTATCAGGTGAAATTCCTCAGTCAATTATGTCACTGAATTTAGATGTTATTGATCTGTGTAATAACAGCTTGACTGGAAAAATACCTGAAGATTTTGGAAAGTTGACAAAGTTGACTGGTTTGTCTTTGTTTTACAACCAATTATCAGGAGAAATACCTTTGAGTATAGGCAAATTACCATCACTGGTTACTGTTAAGTTGTTTGGCAACAAATTATCAGGTGAAATTCCGCCTGATTTTGGTCGATTTTCAAAGCTTGAAGATTTCCAGGTTTCACAAAACCAGCTTGTTGGCAATATACCCAAGGATATATGTAACAACAAGGTGTTGTCAAAAATGATTGTTTTTGAGAACAATCTTACTGGTGTACTACCTGATTCACTTGGAAATTGTGAGAGTTTGAAGTCCGTTCGCGTTGAGAATAACAGGCTTTCTGGTGAGATTCCAGGTGGATTATGGACAGCTGAGAAACTGTCAACTTTGTGGATCAATGATAATTTGTTCAGTGGTCAACTTCCAGATAAAGTGGGATCAAATTTATCCTCAGTTGATATCAGAAACAACAAGTTTTCGGGCGAGTTACCAACTGGAATGGGTAGTTGGTACAGTTTAATTGTATTCAGGGCAAGTAATAATCTCATAAGTGGTGAAATCCCTCAAGAATTGACTGTTTTACCAGAATTAACTGAACTTTTGTTGGATGGTAATTTACTTTCTGGTAATTTTCCATCTAATATTACCTCATGGAAATCACTTGTTACTTTAAGTTGTAGCAAGAATCAGATATCAGGCCAAATCCCAACTGCACTTGGCCTATTACCAAAACTCATTGTTTTGGACTTGTCAAGTAATCAATTTTCAGGTGAAATTCCAACTGAATTAGGTAAGTTGATTCTAACTTCACTTAACCTGTCATCAAATCGCCTATCGGGTAAAATCCCAGCACAGTTAGAGAATGCAGCTTTCGATAAGAGCTTCTTGAATAATCCTGGACTTTGTGCTAGTAATCCATCAGTTGGACTTAGTTCTTGTAAAGGGAAAAAGAAGTCGGACAAGTTTCCAGTTGAACTTGTTGCTGTTCTTGGTAGTGTAGCAGCAGTCGTTTTTCTGGTGGCGGTTTTATATAGTGTTTTTGTGTTGAGAAGTCACAGAAAAAGAAAGCAAGAATTGGTCTCGACATGGAAGCAGACATCATTTCACAAGTTAGACTTCACAGAATCAGACATTTTATCCTATCTGACCGATAACAACACGATAGGAAGTGGAGGCTCGGGACAGGTCTACCTCGTGCCCTTAAGCCGATTAGGTAACCACGTTGCTGTTAAAAGGATTTGGAGCAGCAACCAAAGGTTGGATCAGAAACTTGAGAAAGAGTTTCTAGCAGAAGTTCAGATATTAGGCACGATTCGACATTCAAATATAGTAAAACTGCTTTGTTGCATATCCAATGAAGAGTCCAAGCTTCTTGTGTATGAATATATGGAAAATAGGAGTTTGGATATATGGCTTCATTCAAAGAAGAAGTTGAATAGTGTCTCAGGTTTAGCACCAGATATGGTGTTGGAATGGCCTAAGAGGCTGCAAATTGCGATAGGAGCTGCTCGCGGTCTTTGCTACATGCACCATGATTGCTCGCCACCTATTATTCATCGCGATGTGAAGTCGAGCAACATCTTATTGGATAGTGAATTCAATGCAAAAATTGCAGATTTTGGCCTAGCTAGGATATTACTCAAGCCTGGAGATAACACAGTGACAACAGTAGCTGGCTCTTTTGGGTACATTGCTCCAGGTATAGAACTATTAACTTATATAGCATCATTAACTTTAAGAGTTAAAAAGTTAGCTTGATCCCTTACATGGCTGATTTTCCCTTCCTCCAAAACAAAATTCAAAGCCACATAAACTTTTTGGATGAATTTAATATATTTGGGAAGGGGAGCCTTGGCGTAACTGGTAACAGTGGCGGAGGCAAAAAATATTTTTTGTAGCTAGTGGGAATTGAACCCATAACCTTATGTAGATTTTGAACCCCCTTGACCACTAAACTACACTTTTAGATTGTGTTAAGGGTGTTCAAAACTTAATATATAGAGGTAAAAAACAGATTTTGCCTTATATATACAGTGTAATTTTTCGGCAAAGGGTGTTCGGGTGAACACCCTTGCGCCCCCCTAAATCCGCCCCTGACTGGTAAAGTTACTGCCATGTGACCAGGAGGTCACCGGTTCGAGCTGTGGAAACAACCTCTTGCAGAAATGCAGGGTAAGGCTACATACAATAAACCCTTGCGGTTCGGCCCTTCTCCAGACCCCGCGCATAGCGGGAGCTTAGTGCACTGGGCTGCCCTGAATTGTGTGACGATCCCATCTAAAAACTTAAGTTATTAGATAGAACACATTATTATTTACTTAATTATGTCTTGATATCGACTCTCACGTCTAAACCTAATTCAGTTTCATGGACCAAACGCATGAAATTTCTTGCTGATAATGAATGGCGATGAAATTTAAACTTAGGGCCTCTGCCTACTCTAATACCATATTGAGTTGTGTGATCATCTCATCTGAAAGCTTACTAAATTCTGAACTCAGGACATCTGAATGCTTTGATACCTTATCAATTATGTGATCATCTGATCTAAAAGCTTAAACTATTAGAAATAGCATACTTTATTTACTTAGTTATGTCTTAACGGTTGACATTCTCATGTTGGTGTTGCAGAGTATGCACGTAAAACCAGAGTGACTGAGAAGGTTGATGTGTATAGCTTCGGAGTCATCCTTTTAGAACTAGTGACCAGAAAAGAAGCCAATTTTGGAGACGAAGATTCATGTCTTGCAGACTGGGCATGGCGCCAACTACAAAAAGGACACCCTATAGTCGATGTCTTGGATGAAAACATCAAAAAATCGCGATACTTGGATGAAATCTGCACTGTGTTTAAGCTTGGAATCTTTTGCACAAGCACATTTCCTTCATCAAGGCCAACAATGAAGGAAGTTTTGCAAATCTTGCTCCAATGTAACAACAATTCACCTACATCTGGTGAAAAGAAAGATGAAACAGAACATGATGTTTCACCGCTACTCAAGAACTCCAGGAGTGAAAGGATTGCAGAAAATGAAGATGATGGTTTTACATCACTTATTTGATGGCATTAGAATATATGATAGGGTGAGAATAGCAAAGAATAAAAGGGCAGACCAGTGCACTAAGCTTCCGCTATGCACGGGGTCCGAGAAAGGGCCGGATCACAAGGGTCTATTGTATACAGCCTTACCTGCATTTCTACAAGAGACTGTTTCTACGGCTCGAACCAGCGACCTCTTAGTCACATGGCAGCAACTTTACCGGTTGAGCCAAGGCTCCCTTTCACAATAGCAAAGAATAAGACCAAAGATAATGTATTAGATAGTGAAAAACTAGGATTGTACATATTGTATTAGATCCATACTGTTGCTTGGCATTGTTTTGCTACAGAAATTTTCCTTTTTCTATGTTTTCTTTTCTCACTAATAACTGACAAAAAGGAATATTAAAGTCCTAGACTAATTGAAAGGAGGATAGCCTTCCTAACAAATCAAAAAAAACAAGAAAAGAAAAAAAAACAAGATTGAACTACCTCACTAGTCACTACTAAAACTTATTGGCAACAGAGAATCTTGTAAAGATTAAAAAAAATGTGGCAACTAAACAACAACAACAACTATTTCTCAGTCCCGAACATGTTGGGGTCGACGATATGAATCTCACTTTTTCATTAAGCTCAACTCGTATCAGTATCATTACCAAAATGTATGGGGCGAAAGAAGAGGGTTCTCTTTTACGAGGTATGGGGCGATAATAAATGTAGAACCATCTAAGGCTTTTTCTATCACTCTGACCATGATCAAGATTCCTCGAGTCCGAGGTATTGGGAATGAGAAGCAGCCAATAGTGCAGCTCCAACGCCAGAACCATCATTCGAAAGCTCAACGACTATGTTTTCTGCAGCGTCTCCCAACAACTCTTTAATAGTTCCCTCCATGCAATTTCTGAACTTGGTGTAATGCTCAAACAATGCACCGTCAACAGCTATTACTGACCTCTGCTTCTCTCCATCCTTCGAAGTATCTCTTCCCAATTTCTTGAGGATGCCCACAATTCCTGCTGCAGAAAGACGAGCTCCACGAGAGGTAATAATGTCACATAGCTCTACAATTATTTTCCTCATTTTCCAGGTAGAATTAGGTACCTGTGACAAAAATATATATAGCAAATAGGATGAGTAATACATCGTTCTCCACTTAAGATTAGCCAGCTTTAGGAGTGTTCCGTGGTTTAACTCATATAAAGGCCGAAATAGATGACAAACTTCAAAAATTGATAATGTTTCACTTTAGTCGAATGTTTGATATTAATAAACACAGGACTCCATTTACCTCTAAGATATCCTTCAGCTTGTCGCCAACCACCTTGAGATCAGCAGACTTGTCGTGATGCATAGCAGACATGTCCGGAGTCCTGCATGCATGGCGGTAAATAACCTTTTTCACAAGATTTAATGCTTCAAAGCTTACATATGCTGAATAAAATTATATGTAAATCTAGTCCAATGAGAAGCATAACTTACAATATAAGAGATTAGTGCAATTACGTTAACTTTATATATTTTTCAGATTTTCCCCTTCTCATTGTTGGATTTTGCATCTGTTACTGCTACAGTTTTCTAGAATAATTAGTTGTTTAGTTTTAGGAGGAGTCTGCTAGTAATTTAGTTGTAGGAGGAGTGTACTACTTTATTTATTTGGCTATTTAAAGCCCTATGATTAATAAAATTTTAGAGACAGTTTTTCAATCCTATTTTCAACCTTCTTGCTGCTTGCATATTTTTTCTAAAAACCATAACACTCATCATGTCTCCTATCTGCTGTTTTTGTGTTGTGGAATTTTTTTTGGGTTGCGGCAGCCAAAAACTAGATCGCTTCAAGAGCAACCACAATAAATGTCAATTAAAGCAATATCCTACCTTAAAATGAATGGAGTTTTCAGTTTTGGTGGGACATAATCATCAAAAAATGAAGCTTCTTCAGCCATTCTACACAAGACTCTGCGCAAAATTTCTCCAAGATACATCCCGGAAATCATCTTCTCATAAATCTGCTCAGTTGCCAATAGTTCAAAATCAGATGTAAGATAGAAAAATGTAGAAAATGGAAGGGGGATTGTTTTTGTTACCTGCTCCCCGGGGTTTAAACTCTCAGCGTCAAGACTTTGATCATATTCTGTTACCTGAAGATGTGATGAGCGGAAATTACCCCATTCCATGTTAATAACCTTCAAATACCAAATAAAATTACGTTAAAGTTACAAACATGCGATGCATGCTCAGTTTGATAACAACCATAAGGTTTCTCACAAGAATCTAGCTACCATATCTCCTGATTTCGGCAACAGACCATGCCATTTGGGAATCGCATTTGCCCGCTCAACATATGCCGCATTGGTTCCAGTACCCAATATTACTGCAGCAATGACATCAGGGTTGTTATACCGACCTCCTGCTAACGTTCCAACTGTATCATTTACCTGAACAACCAAGCCAACTAAGAACATTCAGATTCAGGAATTACATAAGATTAATAATCAGAAATGTCAGACATACAAAAAACATAATACACGAACATCATCAGCACACTTCTTCTTTATAGAAATTCACACAGAATTTAATCGGGAGCAAAACTTACCAAAGCAGCCACGCGCACGTCAAGACCGACCCTTTCCATTGCTTTTGTTAACTCTCCAACAACATCTTGGCCAACCTATGTTAGATTTCATCAGGAGTAGTTCAGCACTGCAATAAAATATAGTTTGAAAAGGAAATTTTCTAACGCACTTTTAAATCAAGCCGGTGAAAACGCAATCAAATAATCATTCAACTACGCCACTAAATCTAGGTTCATTGTTGGCATGATCGATGGCTGTGAAAATCAGAAAATCAAATAACTAACCGCATCATCTATAGAGAAGCCCTTTGTCCATTTAATAAGAGTTCCTGATGCAATTGACAGTTGTTTAACCGGGAAAGAGAAGGTGAAGCCCAACTCTCTTTGTCTACCGGGTGGAAGATGAAAATCGTCGCCTTCTGTAGCAACAAATTTTGCAAGTACATTGGCAATAAAATCAAATAATGCCTGCAGTTAGCAGTTTGAAGTTTAATCATATGGTAATAACCCTTAGTGGATGAAAAAAGATTGCCGGTTGCAAAGATGATACAGCTTATACTTACATCAGATGATGATCCAGCCATCACATTCTTTGGAATTGAAACTTCTTCAACTTCTTGTTTAACTATACGCTTTTCTTTCCCGCCCAACTGCACACGCATCACACGGAAGTTTGTGCCGCCAAGATCCAATGCATAAAACAGACCTTCTTCGTCCCTAAGATGAAGGAATAAAATTAATACCATAGAAAAGAAAGCTGCTATAATTCTCTTGATTTTTTATTTTGACAGTTACGCCATTTCTTCCATATATAGGATACAAGTATATACACCCCATAAGCTAAAATCAACAGACAATTTGATATAATCCCTCCCCAGAAGCTAAAATCAATAGAGCAAGATTTCAAAACATTTAACGCATCCAAGATCACAGCTTCATTGAAAACGACACGATTGTTTGACACCTAAATAAGCAAAAATCAGCTTAAGCACATATATGCGCACAAAAATCTGATATAACTCCACGCCAGAAGCTTAAATCAACAGACTAACATTTCTAAAAACTTACAACACCTCCAAGATCACAGCTTAATTGAGAAAAGACACAATTTTTCCACACACAAATTAGCAAAAAATAAATTTATCACATATATATACTCGCAACAACTCACCCACAGGAGGAGGTTATCAAACATAGTCAATAAGCATCTTGGCTTGCTGCCACCTTCAGACTAACAATTTTATCTCCACAATCAATGAATCATATGTGAAGGCACAAACAATCTAATATATCCCATGAGCCCAACGTGGCGCACATCTAGATTAGCCGGGACCGTATACAGTTATACCCAAAAAACTCCACCCCAGAAGCTAAAATCAACAGAGTAACATTTCTAACTACTTAAAACACCTTCAAGATCACAATTTTAGTGAAAAAGACACAATCTTTTCGCACCCAAATAAGCAAAAAATAAGTTTAAACACATATATAAACAAAAACAATCTGATATAACTCCACCCCAGAATCTAAAATCAATCAGAGTAAGATTTCTAAATACATACAAGACCTCCAACATCACAGCTTTATTCAAAAAGACACAATTATATGGCACCTAAATAACAAAAATCAGCTTATGCACATATATATACACAGAAGCTAAAATAAATAGAGTAAGATTTCTAATATTTACAAACACATCCAAGAACACAGTTCTACTGAAAAAGACAATTTTTCCACACCCAAATAAGCAAAAAATCAACTTACTCCCATATAAACATGTTGGGCTAAACTAGCCCAAATACACTCTTAATATGGTCCGCTTTGGGCCAAGCCCGCACGGTTTTCCTCAAAAGGCCTCACACCGTTAAGAAATCCCTACACCTTATATGTAGACTCCCAATCTTTTCAGCTACCAATGTGGAACTTTGTTCACACACCAACAATCTCCCCCTCGAACTAAGTTCGACGTGGCCCACTACCACGATCCACAAGTCAGTTTTCGAGATTACTGTGTGCCACCCACATTGTTAGAATATTCTGGCAACTGAAGCGTGCAACTAGCTTTTTCTTGTGTGTGTGCCGCCCCGCACCATCACTCCGCTATCTCTATACTTGTCCAACTGAACCTGGGCTCTGATACCAGTTGTTGGGCTAAACTAGCCCAAATACACTCTTAATATGGTGTGATATTGTACGCTTTGGGCCAAGCCCGTACGGTTTTCCCCAAAAGCCTCACACCATTAAGAAATCCCTACGCCTTATATGTAGACTCCCAATCTTTTCAGCTACCAATGTGGTACTTTGTTCGCACACCCAACGAAACACATAAAAGTCAGTTTAAGCACACAAATATTTTAGAACGCCTCCAAGATCACAGCTTTATCGAAAAAAGACACAATTTCTTGATACCCAAATAAACAAAAATCAGTTTAAGCACACATATATAATTAGAACACCTCCAAGATCACAGCTTTATTGAAAAAAGACACTATTATATGACACCCAAATAAGCAAAAATCAGTCTCTACACCCCCCCCCCCCCCCAACACACACACAGAGTACTCACCCAGTGGGGAGGTTATCAACATAGCTAATGAGCATCTTGAGTTTGCTACCACCTTCAGAAGCAAGACCAGCATGCATCTCTACAGTCATAGCGTCAGCCACTTGCCTAAGTTTTCCTATTGGAGTTTCACATTTCTCCTCAAACTCTTTCAATATATCCATAGCTTTAGCCCATTTACCTGAATTTTTCATTTTGTGCCTCATTAATAAAACAGCAGCAGCACA